CTGCCAATCCCAAATCCCAATGCCATTCCCAACCCCCACTCCTGATGCCAATCCCAATTCCCAATCTCAAATCCCAATGCCATTCCTGATCCCAATCCCGTTCCCGGCGGGGCTCACCGGGCACCGGGGCACTGCACCCCGCGGGACACGGGCGTGCCTCTGCCCAGCCGCGCCAGCGCCCGCAGCAGCCCCATCTGCTGCCGGATGGAATGGTCCAGGTTGACGGTGACGCCGAGCAGCTGCCGCGCCTCGCCGGCGCCGAAGGGGAAATCCCGCGCCAGGAAGGCCTGGAAGAGCTCGGGGTCGCCGTCCAGGCTCAGCACCTTGCCCAGCGGCTGCCGCAGCGCGCTCAGCTCGCCCGCGTGCTCCTGGAAGACGCTCCAGAGCGACCGAGCCGCGCCGCCCGGCGCCGCCGCGCCCTGCCCGGCGTGATTGGGTTGGGTCGGGTGGGGTTGAGTTGAGTTGGTTTGCATTGAGTTGGGTCGGTTTGGATTGGGTTGGGTTGGATTGCGTTGGGTTGGGTTGAGTTGGGTCGGGTTGGATTGGGTTGGGTTGGGATGCATTGGGTTGGATTGAGTTGGGTTGGGTGGAGTTGGTTTGCATTGAGTTGAGTTGAGTTGAGTTGGGTTGGGTTGGGTTGGGTTGAGTTGGGTTTGGGATGGAATGCATGGGATGGGATAAGATGGGATGGGATTTGGGGTTGGCTGTGGTTTTTGGGGTGGGATTTCGGCTTTGGAGCAGGATTTGGGATTCAGGATGGGATTTGGGATTAAGATGGCGTTGGGGTGGATGGGATGGGATTTGAGGTGAGATTTGGGACTGGGATGAGATTTGGAATTTGGGATGGGATGAGATTTGGGACTGGAATGGGATTTGGAACTGAGATGAAATTTGTGTTTTGGGATGGAATTTGGGACTGTGGGGTGGGATTTGGGATTGAACTAAGGATTGGGATGGAATTTGCAATGAGACCCCAAACCTTCAGGAAACACCACCGGGCACAGAAAACCCCAAATCCGCTGCTCCCAATTCCCGAATTCCCACATTCCCGAATTCCCGGGTTCCCGAATTCCCACATTCCCGAATTCCCGGATTCCCGGATTCCCGAATTCCCGAATTCCCGGGTTCCGGACCCACCGGTGACCTTGGCCAGCAGGGACTCCAGGCGGTGGCCGCAGGGCGCGTAGAAGCCGACGGTGACGGGCGTGGCCGTGTGGCACAGGGTGCGCGACAGGCAGCGGCAGTAGATGTCATCCTCCGTGGGGGGCTCTGGTTTGGGATCGGGATTTGGGATTTAGGGTTTGGGGTTTGGGGTTTGGGGTCGGGACAGGCAGCGGCAGTAGATGTCATCCTCCGTGGGGGGCTCTGGTTTGGGATCGGGATTTGGGATTTGGGATCGGGATTTGGGGTTTGGGGTTTGGGGTTTGGGGTTTGGGATCGGGATTTGGGGTTTGGGATTTGGGATGGGACAGGCAGCGGCAGTAGATGTCATCCTCCGTGGGGGGCTCTGATTTGGGATCGGGATTTGGGGTTTGGGATCGGGATTTGGGGTTTGGGGTTTGGGGTCGGGACAGGCAGCGGCAGTAGATGTCATCCTCCGTGGGGGGCTCTGGTTTGGGATCGGGATTTGGGATTTGGGGTTCGGGATTCAGGATTGGGATTTGGGATTTGGGGTTGGGATGACATTGAGGATTTGGGGTTTGGGATTTGGTGTTTGAGATCAGGGTTTGGGGTCATTCTCCATGGGGGATTCTGGAATGGGATTTGGGGTTTGGGGTTGGGGTGAGATTCAGGATTTGGGATTTGGAGTTGGGATGACATTCAGTGTTTGGGATCAGGATTTGGGGTTTGGGATCAGGATTTGGGGTTTGGGGTTGGGACCAGACGTACCTCGGAGCTCCGGGGCCGCTCCCTCGGCGGGGGCTCCGTAGGGACACGGCCGGGGGGAGCCCCCCGGGCCCAGCCAGGCCTCGCGCTCCTCGCACCCCCCCGGGGACAGCCCCGGGGACAGCCCTGGGGACATCTCCGGGGACAGCCCCGGCCCCGAGGAGCAGCAGGAACCCTGTGGGGACAGGGACACCCTGGGGACACCCCCGGGGACAGTTGGGTTGGGTTGGATTGGGTTGGGTCGGGTGGGGTTGAGTTGAGTTGGTTTGCATTGAGTTGGGTCGGTTTGGATTGGGTTGGGTTGGATTGCGTTGGGTTGGGTTGAGTTGGGTCGGGTTGGATTGGGTTGGGTTGGGATGCATTGGGTTGGATTGAGTTGGGTTGGGTGGAGTTGGTTTGCATTGAGTTGAGTTGAGTTGAGTTGGGTTGGGTTGGGTTGGGTTGGGTTGGGTTTGGGATGGAATGCATGGGATGGGATGGGATGAGTTGGGTTGATTTGGGTTGAGTTGGGTTGGGTTGGGTTGGGTTGGGTTTGGGATGGAATGCATGGGATGGGATGGGATGAGATTTGGGGTTTGGGATGGGATTTGGGGTTGGAGGTTGTTTTTGACGTGGGATTTGGGGTTTGGAGTAGGATTTGGGATGGGATTTGGGGTTTGGGATTTGGGGTTTGGGATCGGGATTTGGGATGAGATTTGGGACTGGGATGAGATTTGGGATTTGGGATGGAATTTCGGACTGGGATGAGATTTGGGACTGGGAATGGAATTTGGGATTGAATTAAGGATTGGGATGGAATTTGGGACTGGGAATGGAATTTGGGACTGCAATGAGACCCCAAACCTTCAGGAAACACCACCGGGCACAGAAAACCCCAAATCCGCTGCTCCCAATTCCCGAATTCCCGGATTCCCACATTCCCGGATTCCCGAATTCCCGGATTCCTGAATTCCCGGATTCCCACATTCCCGAATTCCCGGATTCCCGAACTCCCGGACTCCCGGATTCCCGAATTCCCGGGTTCCGGACCCACCGGTGACCTTGGCCAGCAGGGACTCCAGGCGGTGGCCGCAGGGCGCGTAGAAGCCGACGGTGACGGGCGTGGCCGTGTGGCACAGGGTGCGCGACAGGCAGCGGCAGTAGATGTCATCCTCCGTGGGGGGCTCTGGTTTGGGATCGGGATTTGGGATTTAGGGTTTGGGGTTTGGGGTTTGGGGTCGGGACAGGCAGCGGCAGTAGATGTCATCCTCCGTGGGGGGCTCTGGTTTGGGATCGGGATTTGGGATTTGGGATCTGGGATCGGGACAGGCAGCGGCAGTAGATGTCATCCTCCGTGGGGGGCTCTGGTTTGGGATCGGGATTTGGGATTTGGGATTTGGGATCGGGACAGGCAGCGGCAGTAGATGTCATCCTCCGTGGGGGGCTCTGGGGGACACCTTGGGGACACCCTGGGGACAGCTTGGGGACACCCTGGGGACACCCCCGGGGACATCCTGGGGACACCCTGGGGACAGCCCCGGCCCCGAGGAGCAGCAGGAACCCTGCGGGGACAGGGACACCTTGGGGACACCCCGGGGACATCACAAACAACAGGAGCTCTGCGGGGACAGGGACACCTTGGGGACACCCTGGGGACACCCTGGGGATCTCCATCCCACCCCGATCCCATCCCGGTCCTGCCCGGGGCAGCTCCAGGAGCTCCATCCCTGTCCCTTGTTACTGTCCCTGTCCCTTGTTACTGTCCCTGTCCCAGTCCCGTGCCTGTCCCGGTCCCGGTCCCGTGCCTGTCCCGCCCCCTCCTGGTGCTGTCCCGTGCCTGTCCCGGCTTTATGGCACCGGTGATTCCGATCCTATCCCAGTCCTACCCGGGGCAGCTCCAGCGGCTCCATCCCTGTCCCTGTCCCGGTCCTGTCCCGTGTCTGTCCCGGTCCCTGTCCCGCCCCCTCCCGGTCCTGTCCCGGGTTTTTGGCACCGCCGATCCCGATCCCAATCCCATCCCGATCCCACTCAGTCCTACCCGGGGCAGCGGCTCCATCCCTGTCCCTGTCCCGTGCGTGTCCCTGTCCCGTGCCTGTCCCGTGCCTGTCCCCATCCCGGTCCCTGTCCACATCCCGGTCCCTGTCCCCATCCCGGTCCTGTCCCGGGTTTTTGGCATCTCCAATCCCGATCCCAATCCCATCCCAATCCCACCCAGTCCTACCCGGGGCAGCTC